TGCCTGGGTGGCACGGCTGCCGCCGCCTCGGCTCGGCCGCAGAGGCGCGCAGCGGGGAGAGTTGTCGTCCGTGCCCGGCGGGTAGAGCCCTCGTCCGAAGCCGGCGGGTAGAGCCGGTGTCCCAGGGCAGCGGGTAGACCTGTCGTCCGGGCTCGTCGGCTCGACCCGCTCTCCGAGTCGGGCGGCTAGAGCGGGTTCCGAGCGCTTAGCCGAGGCCCTCGGCGGGTGCCGAGGCGCCACCGTTTCTGCCCGGGGCTCCGAGTGGGAAAGAAAGGGCGTTGTCCGCAGCGCGGGTCAAGAGGGGGAGTAGCTGGGACTCTCTTAAGGTGGCAGGGCGGCGGCCGACCGGGCTCGTCGGCGGGGGTGCCGGCGGGTAGAGCTGACGCCCGAGCTTAGCGGCCGCAGCTGGTCTCAGGGCTCGGCCAGGGCCCTCGGCGGGCGCCGAGAAGGCGGGATTTCTGCCCAGCGCTCTGAGTGGGAGGGAAAGAAAGGGCGTTGTCCGCGGCGCGGGTCAAGAGGGGGAGTAGCTGGGACTCTCTTAAGGTGGCAGGGCGGCGGCCGACCGGGCTCGGCGGCGGGGGTGCCGGTGGGTACGACCGCTCTCCGAGCCCGGCGGGTAGACCTGGTGGCCGAGCCCGGCGGGTAGACCTGGTCTCCGAGCCCGGCGGGTAGACCTGGTCTCCGAGCCCGGCGGGTAGACCTGTTCTCCGAGCCCGGCGGGTAGACCTGGTGGCCGAGCCCGGCGGGTAGACCTGTTCTCCGAGCCCGGCGGGTAGACCTGGTGGCCGAGCCCGGCGGGTAGACCTGGTCGCCGAGCCCGGCGGGTAGACCTGGTGGCCGAGCCCGGCGGGTAGACCTGGTGGCCGAGCCCGGCGGGTAGACCTGGTCTCCGAGCCCGGCGGGTAGACCTGGTCTCCGAGCCCGGCGGGTAGACCTGTTCTCCGAGCCCGGCGGGTAGACCTGGTGGCCGAGCCCGGCGGGTAGACCTGGTGGCCGAGCCCGGCGGGTAGACCTGGTCTCCGAGCCCGGCGGGTAGACCTGTTCTCCGAGCCCGGCGGGTAGACCTGTTCTCCGAGCCCGGCGGGTAGACCTGGTGGCCGAGCCCGGCGGGTAGACCTGGTCTCCGAGCCCGGCGGGTAGACCTGGTCTCCGAGCCCGGCGGGTAGACCTGTTCTCCACGATCGGCGGGTAGACCTGGTGGCCGAGCCCGGCGGGTAGACCTGTTGTCCCAGCCCGGCGGGTAGACCTGGTGTCCCAGCCCGGCGGGTAGACCTGGTGTCCCAGCCCGGCGGGTAGACCTGGTGTCCCGGTTTTTCGGGTCGACCCCTTTCCCCACTCGGGCGCGGCCGGCCTCGTGCCCCGCCGGGTGCTGGCGAGCATCAGGTCTACCCGGTTCCGGGGCTTGCGAGCATCAGGTCTACCCGGTTCCGGGGCCGGCCGCCGCGGCCGCCGCGGCCGCCGCCGGCGGCCTGCGTCCCTGCGGCGTCCCGGCGCAGGGCCACCAGGTCTACCCGGCTCCGGCGGGACTTAGGCGCCTGTCGGCATTTTCGGGGTAGACCTGTTGTCGCGGCCGGCCCCGGAAGTCGGCCAAGGGGTCGCTGTCGGGCGCCGCCTCCGGTTAGGTCTAGGCCAGAGGCGGCCTGCTCTCGCGCGCCTCCCCGCTGAGGAGCCTCGAGCCGCTTTGAAGGCGCGACGGGGCCAGGACGCGTCTGTCCGTATTATGGGCAGGGGTTGTCTAGCAGCGCGGGTTCCGAGGGCCCCTTTTCTTCCGCGTCTGCTGCCGCGCGGCCTTCGGCGCGTGCCACGGGCCGGCCAACCCCACGAGCGGCAGGAAGGCCGGCGCGAGAAAGCCGCGGGGCTCTCGGCCGGCTTCCTCGGGCGGGTCCGATGACGGGAGAGGAAGACGAGAGCCGAGCGCGAAAGCGCAGCCGAGGGAGTGCGGGACTGGGACGGCCGAGGGGGGCCCGCGGGGGCCCAGCAGCAGCGTCCAGCCCGAGCCGGTGGCGGCTGCCGGCTCCCCGAGGGCCCCGGGCGAAGGCGGTGGTGTGCGAGGGCGGCGAGGCGGCGGCGCCTCGTCCTTCCGGTGGGCCGGCCTTAAGCCGGCGCCCGTCGTCCGGCGGCGGCGGGCATTGTTGCGGGCAGTTGGCGGCCGGGGCTGGAAGGGCCGAGCCCGCGCGGGCTTTTTTTTCCCCGGCCGCCTCCCGAGAGCCCCGAAGATGGCCCGGGCCTGGGTGGCGGCGCCCTGTCCTCGGCTGCCGGGCGGCAGCGGTGCCGGCGGCGTGCCGGGGACTGGCGGTGGGCGTGCGGCCTTGCCTGGGCCCGGCCGGTTGCCGGAGGGGCTCGGTGACGGGACTGCCCGTTGTCGGGCGAGGCGGCGCCCTGGGCGCGCCTCGGCTCTTTTGTTCGTTCCCCCTTCCTCGGCCCTAAGCCGGGGACCCGCCCAGCGGGCCCGAGGGCGGCGGCGGCCGGCCGGGGTGTGGCCGGCGGTCGCGCCGGCAGA